TTGACTTCTTCTTTTCCAATTTGGATACCTTTTATTTCTTCTTCTTGTCTAATCACTGTGGCTAGACCTTCCAGAACTATGTCGAACAGGGGTGGTGAAAGTGGGCATCCATGTCTTGTTCCTGTTCTTAGGGGAAATGTTTTTAGTTTTTTCCATTGAGTACAATGTTGGCTGTAGGTTTGCATATAAGGCTTTTATATGATCCCTCTATTCCCACTTTGCTGAGTTTTTTATCAGGAAAGGGTGTTGGATGCCCCCTATTTGGGATATTTAGGTTCTCCTGGTATAGTTGGGTATTGAGTTTTATTGTCCCGTTCGCAGATGGAGTCTCCTCTCAGGGTATGTGATTATGTGGCTCGCTCTGTACCACATTGACCAAACAGCATAAAGTATAACTCAACAAAACGCAACACAAAGGAAACAAAACATGAATGTACTCACAAAACCAATAACCCCAATATAAGTGACCACCAAAGAAAAGAGAATTAGGAGAGAGAAAAGAGAGCAAAAATGTTATCGAGAAAAGAAAAAACGGTAAGAGAAAAAAGAAAAAGGAAGAAAAAAAAATGGGGAGAAAAAAACACAGAACAAACAGATAAACCAAAAAAATGCAAACAACAAACACCCAGAAAAAAAGGGGGGAGGGTCAGAATCTGCAAAAGCAGAGCTTATGTACCGAAAGTAAGGTTAAGGAATTTAATGAATATGGGGAGGATCTCGGCTCAGTATAGAGGAGGTATGAAGAGAATGAGTGGATAAGAAGAAGAAAAAGAAAATTGAAAAACTAAAATAAAATAACCATAAAAATACAAATTGAATGAAGAAAAAATGCTATACAAATAATAAAATAAAGAAAAAAATTGCAAATAAAAGGTTAAAAAAATAAAATAAAAAAGTGAAGTATTGTTTGTTTCAGCTGAGTTTTAATGCCCCATGGAGGCTGGTTTAAGATCCCATTCTTTGGATCAATCTGCCACTTCTCAGTTTCCTGTTAGGTAGTCAGCACCATGTTGAAATTCCAAGTGAACCACTGCTCCTCTGTTTGTGTCTATCTCCACAGCCTTGACTGCAAGCAGGTGGGACCAGTCTACCCACCTAGCCTGTCTGTCTGCTTTCAGTCTTAATCTCTCAAGCTGTTTCTGACATGGCTGTAGGTAGGGAGGGTGCTGTATTGCTTTCTGGGACTGAAAGGCCTCTCTTCAACCCATTCCCTGAGGACTCTTTGGGGCTATTCAGAGTTTTTGTGTCCTTTGTACCACTCAGAGTGTAGTCTGGGTGTGACTGTATTACCTTTCTTGAGGCTGCTGGGAGGGGCTGGTTTTTAGGAGAAAAATGGCTCCTTGGTCCGGAGGGTCAGGAATGTCCCAGTGGCGGATTCCTATTCACCTCTCCCTGACCCGCTGTCCTCCACAGCCTCTCCCCAGACTTCACAAGTCTGCACCTCCACCTGCACCTCAGCCATTGGTGTTTGTATTTGAAAGGTCCTCTGAACTGGGTTTAGTGAGTAAAAGCAAAGACCAAATAGAGGCAAAACAACTGCACAACTGCTGGTTTCTCTCCCCCTGGCACCACGTGGCTCATGCAGTTCTTCAGGCCGCCACTCTGGGCTCAACCTCTTGCGGCTGTGGACTCAGATCTAGAATCCCCTGCCTCCAGCAGCCTTGTGGACTCCTTTCCACAGTCGGATGTTATGCCTTTCCCCAAGGGACGTGCACTTGGTGCCGCGAAGCTTTCTTCTGACCATCTAGGCTCGGGGTCTTCCAACTCTCTCCAGCCCAGATTCCCGATCCTATCTTCTCCAGGCGTCCTCTGCCCTTCCCGACTGTGAATTGTCTCGCCGGCTGTGTCTACTTCACCAATTTCGGGTGGATGTTACTCGATTTAGATACTCCTCTCTGCTCCAGAATAAGGCTCGGGACACGTCTGCCTATTTGGCTGCCATTTTTTTCCCTGCATGATCTAATTTATGTATTTTAAATTTTATTTTTTAATTGTACCA